TCTTCTCTTCCTCCTTGCGTGCTGCTTCTTCCGCCTCTCTGGCCAGTCGCTCTTCTTCCTCCTTGCGTGCCCCTTCTTCCGCCTCTCTGGCCAGTCGCTCTTCTTCCTCCTTGCGGGCTACTTCTTCCGCCTCTCTGGCCAGTCGCTCTTCTTCCGCCTTGCGCGTTGCTTCCTCCGCCTCTCTGGCCTGTCGCTCTTCTTCCTCCTTGCGTGCTGCTTCTTCCGCCTCTCTGGCCAGTCGCTCTTCTTCCTCCTTGCGTGCCCCTTCTTCCGCCTCTCTGGCCAGTCGCTCTTCTTCCTCCTTGCGGGCTACTTCTTCCGCCTCTCTGGCCAGTCGCTCTTCTTCCGCCTTGCGCGTTGCTTCCTCCGCCTCTCTGGCCTGTCGCTCTTCTTCCTCCTTGCGTGCTGCTTCTTCCGCCTCTCTGGCCAGTCGCTCTTTTTCCACCGCCGCATCTTTGGCAACCTCTTCCGAATCCTCTGGATTCGAATGCTCCGGATTCTGGCCCTTTGCGTTTTTTTTACCATCCATGTCTGTGACCTCGCTTTGATGTAAGTCGTTCAAGATCGGGGTTTCCGCATTACTTGCAGGGTACCCATCCTTTGCACCATTCACCGTCGCTTCAACTGACAGATTGGCCTCCTTCTTGAGCTCGCACTCGGATTTCTGTAGGTACGCCTGGTAATCACCCGTCTCATGCAGCCTGAGCAAGCGACCTAGCAGCTCATCTGCTGCACTATCGCCCAATTTTGCGCGACAGCAACGGCCAGCGGCAGCATCACAGGCAGCTTGTGTCATGCGCGCTGCTGGGACTGCAAGATGCCACTACAAATGGGGGGAAGACACGGCTAGCCGCCTGGTGTACATGTGTTGGCAAGCAGTGCACTTGATTGCACACGTATGCTCTTTGGAAGACTGAGAGATGACACGGCCATGCGAGTGGAGAAAAGAAAGATGCTTGTGCAAAGCTCTAAAGACTCGTGCAACCACCTGCTGACAGCGACGCAAATTGACTTTCAGCTTCACATCGGTAGTTCAAGCTGTTGTGTTAAACAAGCAGCTTGCTGACATCGATCTTTGGATACCGTCCCATGCTATACTATGGTGAAACCCATCAAACTTCTGTAGAACATGTAGAACGCATGCCCTCTGATGGCCATTGAAAAATCACACCTGTCTTCAGTGCGACAGAACGAGTCTTCAACTCTCGAAGCTAGGTATTAAAACAACGGAGAGCCCGAACGAGCAAAGCTGGAACACCTGGCTCTCCATGCAACACACACATGTGGCGGTTGCTCACAAATTCGTGCGCGATTTGGCTCTCTCCACACGAAGCTGCTGAAGCTGCAGCCGACGCTCCTCGTCAAAGGCGGACAAGATGCGTTGAGCTTCACCCATTGCATCAAGGATATCAGTTGGAAGCTTGTTCTGTGAACGCCGCCTGAGCGCTTTGCGCTGAATCCTTCGCTCTTCTTCAAACGTGGCCAAGCAATTCTCCGCCTCCGCCATGGCGCGCCGAACATCCCGGAAATTGCAGAACTCTGCAAACTTGGAAGATCCAGTCTGGGAAAACCGCCCTGTCCGACCGAACATGGACACTGTTTCCGCAGTTCCCGACTGCGGAGAGCTGTCCACGTTCTGTGGTGATCCCATCACCCAAGTATCAACAGTAGCCACAAGATCTTGGCTTTTGGCTTCCTGGGCGGGTGCGCAATCTTTCACCTGCAGCGGTTCCAACTTCTCATTTGCTTTCTGAAGCCATGACTCACGCGTCTTCGCTTCCACACCAGCATCACAAGCGACTTGCTCGATGACCTCGCGCAGCTGTGATGATGTTGGAAAGGATGGTGACCCGGGTGATCCAGAAAACCTTCGATTCAGTGTTGCTGCAATTGCAGCATCTACCTGCCAAGAAGCACTCAGACCAGAGGCGCGTGCAGCCGTGGATGCTAGAGCTGCAGATGAGGCCTGAGAGGCGTCGTTCTGAGCTTCGTGGACGCATCGGGCAAAAAAATATGCATTTTCTGCCAATGCGCTGCATGCCTCACCACGGGATGTGAGCCCTTCGATCTGTCGTGCAACTTCACACAGTGCTTCCTGCACCGTGGACACATGTGCCTCCGAAGTTGGCAGCGGTGTTGCTTCATAGGCTGCGAGAGCTGCTGCCTGAATCTTCTCGATGGAATTTCCTGTAGTAGCCTCTGAAGCTGCAAAAGCCGCTGATTTCGCAGACCGCAGTTGTGGCAGTTGCGCGCCCTCATGTTGAGGAGAGGCTTGCGCCTTCATGGCCCTGACGCTGATGGTTGGGCCCATCTTTGCAGCTCTGTCGCGAGATATTACGGTGACCTGCCGCAAGGGCCAAAAACAACCCGTCCGCATAACACACCCCAAAGCACTGCCGATTCCCTCTAACCAACTATCCCAAGATAGAGCAACCAAACTACCAACTAGGATTGGTGTACTCATCACGACGCCCAGGAAAAGCTCCGTAAGACGTACAAGCTAGAACTTGCAGCAAGAGTGATTACCGAGCCCACGGCAACACTATTTATGCTCATGCCAGACAAGACTGGCAGCGGCCTTAGGCGGCTTTGGCGCATCGTCTCTCGAGGAAGCCCGGACCGTTTTGCGCACAACAGTGACTTTGATTGCTTCGCTGGGCCGCGCTGGCTTGGGCGAAACAGACTTGATTTTGACGCGGGTCGGTGAGTGGTTTGGTCTGGGAAGTGGGGGTTTCGCTTGGTGAAGCTCAGGTTGAGGCCGAATGACCGGAGGCATTGAGGGCGTTGGGGGCACTGGGGGCACTGGGGGCATTGCAGGCTTCACTGATGTCACGGGCATCGGAGCCTGGCTTGTGGACGGGACAGGAGTGAAGTCAGCACTTGGTTTGTTCTCTCGTGGCTGTGACTGTGGTGGCTGTGGTTGCTCCAGTGCCGATTGGTCACAGCTTGGCTCAGCTGCCGCTGACAACTTGGAGAGAAACTGACGTTTTAGAAACAGCTCTGGAAGGACGATATCCTCCGGACGTTCCCACATTGTCTCGCTGGTTTCCACATTGAAGAAATACTCCATATCTTCCTCGTCTAGTGCACACTTCCACTTCGAGATCTCAACTTCTGCCTCACCGTCCCATGTACTTCCCAATACGGAAAGGCGATCTGCTCGTTGATCCTCACGCAAGCTCAGGAAGTGCCTCGCGATGCCAGCCAGCTCGGCCAAGACAGAGTTCAAGGGATGCTGCCATGAAGTCATGCCGGTGGACTTATGAACGAAGAAGAAACGGTTGTTGGCCTTGTCGTTCCAAATTTTCCAAGGTGCGGGTAAAGGTGCAATCTTCAGCACAGTCTGAAAAGTCTGCAGCAACATTTCCTCTCCTGGCACATTCACGATGCCTTGTGTGGTTAAGTAGTACTCCCAGTTGTCATCGAACAGCGCATGATTTGATAACTTTCGAGAGCTTCTCCTACCTCGCCGTGACATGGAGGATACAGAGGAGTTGGACGTAGAAGCCATCGTGGACAAACTGTCCCGATCTCGTTCTCCACTCCTTCCTCGGTGCTCAGTGCGCGCAGGCTTGCAAAGGCTCAGTCTTTTGAGAAACTGCTTCTTCAAATAAAACGCTGGAAGCACTGCTTCTGCCGGTCTCTCCCACATGACTTCCATGGTCTCCACATTGAAGAAATATTCTCGGTCCTGCTCATCGTAAGCAGCCTGCCATTTCAAGATCTCCTCCCGCGCTTCATTGTCCCAGGATGTATTCAATGCTGCTAAATGCTCGGCCCTAGTGGCAGACGGCACGGTGAAGAATCTCCGCCCAACTTCTGCCAGAAAAGCGAAGACATCGTGCAGGGGATGCATCCACGATGTCTCCAAGGTTGTGGGGTTCCTAAAAAACAAAGACTGAGTGGCCTTGTCGCACCACATGCTCCACGGTGCTGGTAAAGGAGCTTCCCGTAGCACCACCTGAAACACACGCAGGAGTTCCTCATCATCGGGGAGTTTTAGCAGCTCCTTGGTCAGATAGCCATCCAAGCTCTCCGATAGATTGCTTTGCTCGGGGGTCAATGGCAAACTTGACCGAAAGCCGTGGCCCTGCAGGCCTTGCTGGCCTTGCCTTTGTGGGCCTTGCCTTTGTGGGCCTTGCTTGCCCTGCCTCGCAGCTTTACCCTTTACTTCAGCATTCCATTGAGCCCCATTACAATAAGAACTGAGATTCTTCAAATATTGCTTCTTCAAGTAGAAGGCCGGGAGCAACGCATCGACCGGCCGTTCCCACATGACTGCCTTGGTCTCTATGTTGTAGAAATATTCAGCGCCATTGTCGTATGCCGATCGCCATCTCAAGATCTCTGCTCGCGCCTCAGCCTCCCATGTCCTGTTCAAGGCGGCCAAGTGTTCGGCCCTGCTGGCCGTGGGCAATGCCAAGAATCTTTGTCCCACAGAAGCTAACTCAAGGAGCAAGGAGTTTAACGGATGAGTCCAAGAGGTCTCTCCAGTAGAGGTGTTTGTAAAGAAAAGGGCGTTGCTTTTCTTGTCGAACCACATACTCCAGGGAGCCGGCAATGGCGCCCCGCAAAGGGAAGACTCGAAAACATCCAAGAGCAGCTCATCATCGAATGAGACTATGCTCTGTGAGGTCAAGTAGCCTCGCCAGCTGTGCACCTCACGGTCAAGGGTCATGCAGAAACGCCGCCATCATAGCCATCAGCGGGCATTTCTTTGGTGCCAAAGCTCTGTGAGCTGACCCCTCGGGCCTAGCTCTCACGGCAATGCGGCAGAATTGCCGAATGCGCAACACGTCACAACATTCAACAGAGCTGGGGCACCAAAACTTACCAAAAGCACGTTTTAAACTCTTTGCCTGACGCCGCAGCAGTTCAGAACGAGCATGCACAGGTGCGCTCAGTTGGTCGCGGAGGTATGGCGGTGACACGTTGGTGTTGGTGTGGTGTACACAAAGAATCTCCTGTGACCCCCCTCGTATGCAAGTACATTGACAAAGCTTGTAACGAAACCAGATCGCAACATCTAGCTTGCCTCCTTGGCATTTGTGAAACAAGGTGTACATGAAGCCTGCTCAGCATGTTGCTGCCCAGACTACCTCAAGCAGGTTGTGTCCCGTGTACTTGTGCCGACCGGAACTCCTACACCCACAGACCGCGGGCTGTGCCTGCAGGTGTGGATCACTTCTTGGGAGCTTGAAGCATGGCCTCCAGCTGCTCCTCATTCGGTGCGCCAAGTACTTCAAGTAAGGGCAAGTGGCAAGTGCTGTAGATGCAAAATAACATGGGGATGCAAAGATGCAAAGCCACTGCTGATCAAGAGACTTTTCGCTGCGCATTGAGCTTCTTCAAGCTCTCAACCTGACATTCAGAGATGGCGCGAAAATCCATGTGGAAAGCCCCGCAGGTGCCTCCTCTTTGTGCTTGCGTTCCTCTTGTTCCCGTCGCTCTGCTTCATGCTTCTCTATCTGGGTGATCTTGTTCTCCAACTCCTGTCGTACTCCGGTGCACACAAAGCTCCCCTTAGTCAACATCACGTGACATGGATCCATGCCGGCTTTGCCTCTACTTCATCCCGGAGTTTCTTGTTTGCAACCTGGAGGTCCTGCAGGAATCGAGGAGCTAAAAGAAACCGCTGCAAGCGGCACCTGCATGCAATGACCACATTGTCGAAGAATTCTCGGACAGAAAAAACGCTCTACATAATAGGTGCTCGGCGGTCCTTCATCTTTTTGTTGTGTTGATTCCTGCGCTGCTCAGCCTGCAAAGCCTGACACAGACAGCAAGAAAACAGCCTTTGTGCCAAGTCAGGGCCCACCTTCCGCATGCCAAAGGCGATGGAAGACTCGTAGAGGCTCTGGTAAGCGCAAATCGTCATCCTCGAGTGCTCTGGGCCAACGGGCCAAACAGCTGAACTTCGCGAAGCAGCCTGATTTCGTCTCGTACTCGCAAGAGGAGGAGGCCACGTTCTGCACAAATGATTGTGACCTGGTGCAAAGATATACCTCTTGCCGTCTAAACCTGTCACATTGGTCTGACTGAAGCATTAAACTTTTGCAAAGATGAAAGCATACAGGCACCAGGCCTGCCGGATCAGCTCGTCAAAGCACTGGGAGTACAGCTCCTTTTTGGGAACAAACTCCGATCCGGGATTTTCTCCTAACATCGCCCCGTAACACGCTCCTCTCGGATCGGACATATGCCCGTCTCCCGTGCCTTCCGTCAAACACCGCTTCCAAGCGCTGTACGTGTCTGGACTCCGTCGGGCGCTTCGTCGCGTGCAGGCAAAAACGAATGGAACTCATTGCCATGGCCTGTCGCTGCTGAAGCCATTTGTCCAGGTCTTCTTGCAGGTTGACCACATCTGCTCCTGTCAACTGTCGAAACAAAACGGGAATCCGGGAACAACTCTTCAAATCGATTCTGAGCCGCAGGCGGGTGGCTGGCGTGCTGGAAACATACTGGACCTGGCAATCAAGGCAGAATCAAAAACATAACGTGAACAAGCCACAAGCTGCTAAAAAAATAGCAAAGAGCACCCAAAGCTGATCTTCTTGTGTCCACTCACGGGGAGGCAAGATCGAGTTCAGGATGTCCTGCATGCGCACATGTGGCAAAGTTACATCCGACATGTGAGAACAAACTTCCGTGGAGCCACACCAGCAGTCAAAGCCTCCGTCTGGGACATTGCAGGTTGGGCATCCTTTTTCTTCTCCTGCTACAACTGATCAAATTGCACGACAGTTGCAAGACACGCCGTGGAGCATTGATGAAGCCGTGGTTTTTGCGAGACACATGTTTGGTATGTCTGCACTATTGAGGGCGGCCTTATCTTTCTTGCCTTTTGCAGCACCCGTGGTGCTGATCAATATCGGGGTGTTGTACCTTTGCGACATCAAGCCACCAAGCTTGCCTGCACACACCCTTTCTGACACAATCCGCTACAATCATCTTCACCCACAGGCACTTCACCAAAGACGCCTGCATCTCTCGAAACCTCCACACAGAGAAGCAATCAGACAGTGACACATTCGAAACACATGGTTGTGGCAACGTTGGCTGTGAAAGCCCACCTCTGCGCTGAAGAACCCTATCGACCAACGACTGAACAGTTTTACCCTTTTGAGCCAACAAAGATGCGTCAACTTACAATCTGCAGCACGGAAACAAAAAAAAAATCCCAACTCCTCCGTTGAAACTACTAAAACAACAATGGAATCAACATGGCTCGTTTTCAAGTTCAAGGTGGCTTAGGGAAAAGGGTCGTGCGTTTGTCTTGCACACAAGAGCAAAGACGTTTCCGCCGCCCATGAAACATTTGTTACATGTTGCAATCCGAAGACGGTACGTGCCTTCTTGTTTGTGCACTGTGACTTGTAAGGTAGGTGTACGGTTGACGATGCCTTGTGATGAACATATCAACTTGAGCTCGGTCGACCGATGGCTGGGCAACGCGCATTCGTTGACCACAGCAGCCTCGACATCACATTCATACGGAATGCTTTACAGGCTTACATCGCTTTGATGGTACAACACCTGAAGAATTCAAAAGGGCATGTAACGATTTTGGTTCTGCGTTTGTTTTGGATGAAAAGTGAATTTTAAAAGGTGTTCAATCGGGGCAAGTTGCACTTGCATCAAAGCGCTTGTGGTTTTTTGCCGGACATGTGTGTGAATGTGTGTTTCAAAGCTGCATTTGTTCTCGGTGAAATGGCATCAGAGCCTCGGTAGGAGGATCTCCAGGGCCAACCATGTTTCATCCCATTAGCTGCAAAAAGGCTCGATATTTTGGGGTTACTTTTTGTCGTTGTTGAAAGAAAGGGTATTGATTGGAACTAACAACAAACCTCGAATTTCTTTCGCTCAACAGGAAGGTCTCTGGTTTCTCGACGCTTCGACAGGAAAACCTGTCCATTCGCTTGGATTACAAAACACTTCTCATGCTTGTCTATTTGAATAAGAAAATATCAACTTCCCAGTTTTTGTCGCAAAGCCTGTATTTCCCCTGCACTTCGCTCATGCTCATTCCCCTATCATTTGCTAAGAACAATTATGATTTCTTTACATACTGATGGATGCACCTTCATATCAATTTTGTGTCCATAAGACAACCTCTGATCGTTTAACATCTTCACAAAAAACAAGTCTGCTTCCTCCAATCTATTTTTTCAAAGCCTTCGGGTTTCCCCCATCTGTTGATAGGAAACCTTGGTTTGCTACATATTGCACTCCGGAGGTGCAGTAGGGCAGCAGTGTTTTAACTGCAAACCTAAAGGTATTTTTTCTTCATGAGGCCTGTAGCATGTTGCGCTCGGTGAGCGTCTTTGAGCTCACTGCAAACTGTCAGTCTGAAGCAATAGCACTTCAGCGGGCAGCCAGCAGAAGCTAAAGCTCGTAGAAACAAATCTGACGGCACAGCTCATGACCAGCGGGCCAACAACGCATCTCTTATGGATGGCTTGTTCAGTTGTGTCTCACGGAGCCATGGTTTGCGTAACTGCCATTTCCTGCTCACCGCTCGAAGCAGACCCTTCCTATGAGAGGTAGGCATGTCCATCCACAAATGGGGACAGGCCAAGTTGGCCAAAATCACATCGGGCAAGCCAGCGTTCGCGTAGAACGTGAGTGGGCACACCAACAAGAAGTACCGCAGGGTTTCCGCAGCTTTACGTCCATGCCAAAGGCAATAGGCAAGCGAGGCTCTGCGCGGGGCTGAAACGGTGCCTGGATCTGGGACCCATCAGGTGTGTGAAGATATTGATCACGCATTCGCCTTGAATGTCGTACGCGACCGCCCGGGTTGGGTACAACTACAAGCTGACAAAAAGACACCATGCTTCCTGCGGCAATAGCTCCTGCGCAGGTGCGGTGAGCATCTTTGCTTCCCCCATTTTCCCTATGTGTGGGCTCAGGCTGCCATTGCTTCTGTCTTTGAGTTGCCATCTGTCTGCGTGCGTCAATCTGCTCTTCTGCTCAGGCTTTTTTGTGGTGGGCAAGGGTTGCATAGCAGAGATGGGAACCATTGGCAAGCCGCTTCACTGCTGCTTATATTGCATCACACGAGCTAACAAGCTCATGCGAGCCGTCGCGCAAAGCGGGACCAAGGTACCCATCTCAAGCACGCTAACGCAGAAGGTAAATGGCCCAATAGCACGCGAGCAACCTTGCGTTGAAGCAAGTCCACACGATTTGCTGAAGAAACGTCAAAGGCAAGAAGCCAGGCTCAACATACAGTTTCCAGTGCCGAGGAAGGAGGACGGAATCTGGTTTGCCGCGTGAAAAACCGAAGGTCCCTCTGGTACCTTTTCCCTTGAAAGCACGAACCCTGACCTCTCACACAAGTGCGGACAGCTCTCTCTTTTTCACAGTCAGAGCCACTTGAGCCAAAAGTCACGAAGTGCACAAACTAAACGAATTCTCTCTTGTGAGCTTAAACTCAGCTTCAGAACGAAGTTCCTACACACTGCACACTCACTTTAAATAGCGTATTGGGCAAAAACACACTCGTATGATTTCCTTGGAAATCAACGAGGCATAAACCATCGAGGATGGGATCACACGGATTCCCAATCACTCCGAAGCAAAACAAACCTATACAAGCTGATCCAAAACATGACAAAAACATCACTGATCAGCCACAATCTTCCACCCCCCGCATTTTGCTGAGGGTTCATGTCAAAGATCTGAAGTCCAAGCCCAGCTCGGCACTTCAACACTAAGGGGATGCCCTGGCCACATTCCCTTGGTGCGTACTCGCCACCAAACGAAACAAACAACACACCAGTCGATCTCTGACATCAAACTTAAAACTCATGCAAGATCCCACCATCAGGCAGGTTGTCCTGGGTCCACATCACTGGTAACCCAAGAGTTCGTTGTCCAAACACGTGAAAAACGAATTAAACTTGCATCCACCTGCACTGGGGCAGGGTTGTCTTGGAACGAATCCAAGAGTTCGTGGTGACAAACACGTGAAAACGAATTAATGCAAGCTTCAGATGTTTCCCACTCAGCACTCGACCTTGTCGTGGTACTCCTCCTCAGTCTCGCATCTTCCAGGTCACCAAACTCACCAACTAGCATCGGCTAGCTGATCCTTCAAGAAAAGATTGGCTTCATAGTTTCGCTTCTTCCAGCGTACCATCAGCCAAAAACGTCTTCAGAGGTGGCAATCAGACGCCTTGCAGAAGGGGCTATAGAGTCCCTCGTTGAGTTTCATCATCATTTTGCCTCCTCTTTGCAAACTTCTCACGCACTGAAACAAGGGCTCACACTAACCAGAAAAATCGCGGGCGCTCCATGGCGGCAACGCGGCCATGGCTTCCAAAAAATGGCTGCGGGTTTCACTCACCCACCCAACCACTGAGATCACTTAGCATCTCAGTTCATTCTTCATCCTCTTCGCCCTTCTTCTCGCCAGCTCCAGTTGACTCCATCAACTTGGCGCGGCGCTCCTTGGCGGCTTCCTTCATCTCCGCCAACTCAGCCGTCCTCGTTTCCATCACCACATCCTGCGAAGATCGGCTAGGCTCAGCTGGCGTCTCCGCAGGCCTCTCAGTTGGCTGGTCTCCAACCTTTCTCTTCTTCTCTTCCAACATCAGCTCCAAATCGGCAACACTAAAGCTTGCCTTCACACGCTCAGCAATCTGCGCGATAGCTGCTGCATCCAACTCAGATGGTACAACTGACACAGGCGAGCGAACCGCTTCGCCTTCCAGCTTTGCTCTCTTAGCAGCTTCTTCCTCGGCAGCTGACAGGTCGGCGATGCGCTTGCGCTTTCGCTCAGCTTCCTCGAACTCTCGGTCTTGCTGTTCCGCTGCAGCCTTGAGGATCCGCTTCAGGTCCTTTTCCTCCTTCTCGAGTTTCCCAACATTCTCACCCATGATCCCAAAGGCTTGCTGCCACATGTCGGCAGGCAACGTCAAGTTGAACCTCACCACATAGTCGGTCGGCAAGTGCCACTTACACTTGCAGATCCACACAACACCGCTTCGAGTCTCACTCGCAACCACCTTCTTCCAGCTTGCCGCCCTCTGCGTGTCGGTGATCTCCTCTTTCTTTTTCTCCAGGTCCTCCAAGAATCCTGCAACAGACTCCATCACGGATCTGTAGTGGCTGTAGGCCACAAACGACCACTTGGGGACTGGTCTCTCCCTCAGCTCCGGCTCGTGAATCCGAAGTGTATCACACGACAACATCGAAATCACTCGCACTCGCTCCACCAGTTCCTTAAACACCAAGGATCCTTCCTTTGCACTTCTCTTCCAGCGCAACACCCATGGGGGATAATACGAGCTCTCAGCTTCATCCTCCATGATCCTCTCTGCTCCCAAAATGGGTAGCATGCACAACAGATCCACCATCCGCAAGACTCCGAGGTCCTGGTGCTCACCCAGAAGCAAAACAGGGATTATCCCTTTTCTCTTCAAGTACCTCACGAAGCTCAACATCGCCAGGCCACACGTTCCCGGCGGCACTTCCATGTACAGTCCTCCTTCATTCACTGCCATCTCCCAGATGATGGCCTTGCCACCAATCTGTCCACGGACATCCAAGATTCCGAAGATCTTCGTGGGTTTCTCCTGTAGCTCACACACCTCCTGGATGGGCTTCACCAGCTTCTCGTATGAGCTTTGATAGCGCAACATATCCTTGTCGGATAGCGTGCCTATCACGTCCTTGAGCTCTAGCTCATCCACTGGAGTTCCGCGCCGGCAGATACTCCATGACACATCACCGAACCACTTCGGCGGCTCTGGATCCGCCAGCTCCGGAAACACGTCGACCATCCGTTCAATCACCTTCGGCATGGCCTTGGGTTTCGGTGCAGCTTGGCCTGAGCCTCGGCTTTCACCTTTATCACCCCTTTTTCCAGCAGCTCGGCGCTCCTTCTCTGCCTCTCGGAGATGGAATGCATGGCTTGCATCCGTGCCAGAGACTGTCACAGTCTGTTTGCACTTTTCGCACTTGGGCTTGCCACTTTCATC